GGAGTTTAGGGCTGTTGTACATAGGGTCGCTATGAGTCGCAGGCGACTCGACGGCACATAACAACAACAACAACAACAACTCCCAGGTTACCAGTACTTGGTTCAGTCAGCCATAGCTGGCAACATGGAATTTCAGGGTAAAAACGGCATGAGCTGTTCTCTCCGATGAGGATATAGATGGGACAGCTGGGCACAGTAAACACTGTTTGGTGTAGGAGGCATTATTGTGTTTACTAAAGTTCTCTTATTGAACCTGTGCCCACATTCACCCTTTCACAAATAAGTATCCAAACCTTTTGAGGCCTCTTGGTTTTTTCCAAACTATGTATAAAGATGACTGAGAAACAAACTTTAAAGTATAGAGAAGTCTTCAATAGTGATTGAAAACTTTTGTAAAAACAGAGACTTTTACACTAGTGTTTCATAGCAGCATTATTCATCATCTCAGGAACATGGAAACAGCCCAAATGTCCCACCACAATTGAATGAATTGAAAAATTATGGTTCATTCAGACAATGGAGTGCTACACAGCACCACAGGAGCAATGATTTTGTAAATTACTACCTAATTTGGGAGGGACTAGAAAGCTATGGTGAGTGAACCAACTCAGTCCCATAAGGACAAGTACTGTATAAAACCATTATTGTAGAACAAGTGTGAAGATCCAAGGAGGGGAAAGGTGAGAGCAGAGAGGTGAGGAGGGGTGGGGGAGGGAGGCCATTAATCATTGGGCTGCACAATTTGATGGGTGGAGGGTGGTAGTGAAGGAAAGATCCGGTGTGAAAACAATTTTTAAAAACTTTGTAAATAAACCATCATAAAATAAAAAATACAACTTTTGTCAATGGAGAAACTGACTATTAATTAATGAAATTTAAAAAGGACAGCACTTACTGTTTTAGAAAATATTGGAACCATCAGGCAGAGCATCCTGCTGACATATGGTGCCCTGTTTGTCTTCTAATTAATCAAAAAAACAGATGAAATTTGCTTTCTAATTAGCATTGCATAAATGTTCATATGGATGACCGCTTTTTCTCACAAGCTCACTGCAGCTGGTTAGAGTGTGAACACTGCAAATGAGCCAATAGTTGTATTATAATAATAGAACAATCGCCAGGTACGTGAGAGTAGCTAGATTTCTAAAGTGTTTTGAACTTTCATGATACCAACTTTCATGGTATTTTCAGGTTCTAGAAAATATACGTGGTCTAGGCATGGTGATAAAAAAGACTAGCCTTGTCAGAAAAATATGTGAGAGAACCAAAGGAGATAAAAGAGACAAGGAAAGAAAAGTAGAGATTCTTGAAGGAAGAATGGTCATTACCATGTCTGGAAATAGAAGTTGTGGTGCCGGCAGCTTTGGCGGGGGCAACCTGAAGCAGGAGCTGGTCTTTTCCCTCTGTGACTTGCTCAGCTCCTCTCCATCCTCTGTCTGACCGTAGGTCACACAGTCCTTCAGGGAAATCTTTCCTGATCACCTGTTCTCCAAAGTAGATCTGGATTCTTGCTGTGTGTTCTTATGTTTTAATTTTACTATGGTTTCTAATTCTACTCCTTGTGACTGTTTCATTTCTGTTTGTTTCTCCCACTAGTCCAGGAGTGCTCTTGACTGTGCATAGTGGCTGTCATGGAGACAGGCAATATATATTTTTCTTTAAGTTATGGAGATTTGAAGAAATGGTAATGATAGTACCTGAAGCATTTAGCAGAAATAGCAGTGGATTGATAGTAAATGCTGATGCTTACAAATTGGAAAATGGGCTATAGATTCCCTGATTATATTGAGATTACAGTTCTGCAATGTGGAGGGCATCTACACTGTATGGCTACTCCAGGCCAACGAGGACATTCCTGTGTCCCTTGTTTGCAGCATTGCACAGTAATTTAATAAGCCAAAAGGCACATTCTGCATATTTTGCCATATAAATATTTTTTAAAAAAGAAAACTATTTCATTTATCAACTATTTAAAGCATGCATTTACCAGATTTTCTTGTTCACCAAGAATCCTATTTAGTTGAAGTTTTACTGTATGTGGTTTTTACTTACTTATATTTTTATCTTTATCTACTTACATTGTTCTCTGTATAAGTCATATTTCTCCCACAAGATTGTTGCCTCTAGAAGGCAGGTAGAGACCAACCCAAGTTTTGTTGATACGAAGATTGTTTTACATAAATGTTATTTCTTGACTAATATTTTTTATTACATTGATTAAAAAAGCCTGAACTTTTCTTTTTTCATTTCAGCATGTCTTCAAATTAGAACAAGAGGAATACATGAAGGAACAGATTCCATGGACACTCATAGACTTTTATGATAATCAGCCTTGTATAAACCTTATTGAGTCTAAACTGGGCATTCTGGATTTGCTGGATGAGGAATGCAAGGTTAAGTATGATTTTCTGGGGCACTTCATCTATCAAGTGATGGCTATCAAGGCCAGAAGATAAGTGAGTTTAAGCAGTGATTCAGTAATAAACCAGGAAGTTCCATCATGTAGGGAAACTTACTAATTTGTTTTTTGAAGACAATAAGTAAATGAAACTGGGAGAATTTCTTTTTTTTCCCCTTAGCTGATTCTTAAGTTTCGTGAAAGTTTTGCTTTACAAACAACTATTGCCAATTTTAGTTGCTGTTTTTACTTTATTTTAATCTCATTTGTTATCATCATGCTTTTATTTAGAGTTTTTTTTTATTCAGCCATTAGTCTATATTTAAAGAAATATAGAAAGTTGTCCAAAAGATATTTTCAATAATAGTTATAAATATCTGTAATTTTTTGCCTTATTTCTTAAAATGTTTATTTGTGTTTTATTAGTTATGCAAAGACATTTGAGCATACAGATCTTAATAAATTATAGATCATGGTGAGAAGAATAGGAATTCTAGAACACTTAAATGTGCTCATGTAAAGCCATATATAGACCAAGAAGGAGTTGTTTGAACAGAACAAGTAATACTGCATAGTTTTAAAATAAAATCATGAAAAAGGTGCTGTAGAGTTGTACCCTTTCTCCATATAAATATTGGTTTGTTTAACAAAGTGTGCATAAATTGTGTTTTACACTATTCTTCATTCACATTGTGTTTCATACAATCATTCTCATGCATTATGTTCTGTTGTTGTTGTCTTTTAACTGGCATAATTACCCTTCGGTACTTTTTTTTCCCCCATCTGTAATTTTTAAACCAGTTAGTTCCTTCTTACCAATAAATAAGGTAGGCGTGGAGTTTTTGGCTAAACCATTTGAAAATGAAGACTATTGGAAAGATATTGGATCTCTAGCTTTGCCACTTATTAACTGACAGCTCTTAAGCAAATAACCTCTTTTTGTTTCTGTTTAGCTTATAGTGAGTTACAATTTACCACAGGCTTATTGTCCTAAGCTTACAAATGTCCTACTACATTAAGAAGGAAAAAGATGCTCAGTCTCACCTGAGATTTAAAAAATGCAAGTAAAAAAATGTGATCCCACATGTTAACCATCAGATTAACAAATTTAAATTTAGCAATGCTTTTATGAATATTGCACATATATGCTTGATGTAGGGAACTCTGGTGGCCTAGTGGTAAAGAGCTGCACTGCCAACCCTACAGCATGTGGTTTGAATCCACCAGCTGTTATGTGGGAGAAGAATGGGCACTTTCCTGCTGTGAAATTTTTTGTTGTAAGGTGCCATCGAGTTGAGTACAACTCTTAGCGACCCTATGAACAAAAGATCTGAACCTAGTCCTGTCCTGCGCCATCCTCACACTTCCTGACACACAAGAGCCCATTGCAGCAGTCACCGTGTCAATCCACCTGGTTGAGAGTCTTCCTTTCCTTTGCTGACCCTCCACCCTACCCAACATCATGTCCCTCTCCAAAGAATAGCAGCTCATAGCAATATATCCAAAGTATGTGAGGCAAAGCCTCATCATTCTTGCCTCCAAAGAGCTCTCTGGCTGGCCCCTCTCCACGATATATCTATTCATTTTCTTGGCCATCCATGGGATGTTCAATGCTCTTCACCAACACCACAGGTCAAAGGCATCAATTCTTTTTTCTGTCATCCTTATTCATTGTCTAGGTCTCAGATGCATAGGTAGTAATTGGAAAGACCATGGCCTAAATCAGATGCACTTTAGTCCTCAAACTGACATCACTATTCCTCAATACTTTGGAAAAGTCCCTAACTGCAGATTTTCCCATTGCAGTGTGTATCCTTATTTCCTGACTGCTTGTTACTGCCTCTGAAAACCCACTGGAGGGTCAGCTATGGGTTGCTTCCAACTTAGTGGCACACAACAACAACTCTTGATGAGAAGCATGATTCATTATGAAGTATTTTAAAAGTAGTCTGACAGCATTTATCAAAATCATAAATACATGTTAGACCTTTTGACCCAGAAGTTCTACTATGTGTATCTAAAAAAGACCTAAGGCATATGCATAGAAGTCACCATTATAATTTTTGTAATAAGAAGGATCAGAAACATAAATAATACAATAAGTGTATAGAATGACCACATTTATGTGCAAGCAGTTAAAGATAAAAAGAGACAATTTAGGAGAAATAATAAGAGGCTACTCTCCATTGTTGATGTTTCTGAATTATATACATATATCAGGTTGTGCAAGTGTTACTGTTATTTAACAAATTAAAAAGATACATGATAACTATACTGTTTCATCTTTAATATGTGAGGCCTTTTCTGTTATTATCATTTTAAAAGCAAATCCCATGCTTGTCTGGTGATGCATGAGATGGGCAGAACATGACAAAGTTTGGACCAGTTTGCCTGTAGGTAGTCTTCATGCTTTCCTTTAATAATTGAGTGTTTTGGTTTTTTCTGCTGGGAAATGGGTTTATCTTTCTTTTTAAAAAAACTTTGTTTCTCTAACTGGAATAAAAGTTTACAAATCACATTGCATTTTCATTCAAGTAATTAGATTTTGGCTTCTAACAAAAGAAATGAGAAAAGGAATGAGAGTTAATAGATTTAATATAATACCTATTAGATAAACAAGAAGTCTCTTGGGGGCTGATGCTCCAGGCATGTCTCCTAACAGCATTTGCTCTGCTTGCTTTCTTCCCCTGAATATAGATGCCTAAAGGTACAGATGACACTTGGGCCCAAAAACTGTACAATACACATTTGAACAAATGTGCACTCTTTGAAAAGCCTCGTCTGTCAAATAAAGCTTTCATCATCCAACATTTTGCTGACAAAGTAAGGAAGTTTTATTATCTTTTTTCTTTTGGAATAATTAAATGAAATGAAGGAGGGGAAATATTAGTAGTCAAGAGATATCCTTTTTCCTTGACCGATTCTGCATTCTTTAGGACCTTGTGGAAAAAGCATCCTCTTCTTCTTCCTTGTAAGTTTTTTCTTCCTTTAAATAAAAATGTATTATGTCATATAAGTTTATAATTCTCTAATACTCTAAAATCCAGAAATCTCTGAAAATCAAGTCCTTTTATAATTCATTTGATGACTAATCCTGATTGACCTGAACCAACATGAAGTTTCTAATAATTTTTATCTACCACATTGGAGATATCCACATTTCAGTGTAGAAATACTAATAATTTCACAACAGATTGCTGCTTCAGGCTCTTCCAGAGATATTACAAAATATTTGTATATACCACTTCTCTAAGTTTCTGAAAAGTTCTCAATTTTAAAGCATATTTGATCCTGTGGGCTCCAGACTGTTACTGTGGACTGTCATCCTCTATCATTCATTCTTTGGGATTTTCTATCAAGACATGCAAACTTGCTGCTTGAGCAGCTCTGTAGAGTCTACTTCGTGAATCAGAAGCCATGGGACTAATTCATAGGGTAGACTTTGGAGTTAAGTTTCCTGAGGTTCCCTTTAGGGTTTGAAGACTTTCTGTATCTGCTTTAATCCTGGTGGGAACATGATGTGACCAGAGCTGGTAGTACAACTGTGGGCCCCCTTGGGTATCAAGTGGTTGAAGCTGCTAGAGTTTTGGCAGTAGGAACAGAATAAACCATTCTTGAGTAGTTCTGCTTTACTCATCATACAGTATTTCCTCAGCACCAACTGCAATCTATCAACAGTTCGTTGGTGTTCTTCCAGTTAGAGACGTTGTGATGTCCCCCTCCTGCGCTATCCGTCCACCCTTTCAAGCATGATGTCCTTCTCCAAGCTCCCACATGCTCAAAGTATGTGAGACAGAGCTTCAAAATCCTAACTTCTGAGGAGAATCATGGTTTCACCCTGTTGAAGACAGACCCATTTATATTCTTAGCAGTCTACAGTATATTCAAGACTCTTCTCCAGCACCACAACTTGAAGGCATCAATTCTTCTTCTGTCATCCTTAGTCATTGTCCAACTCTCTGATGCATAGCAAGCAATTTTGAAGACCGTGGCCTGGATTAGGTGCACCTTAGTGCCTAGACTGACATCATTGCTTCTCAGCACTCTGGAGAGGTCCCTGACAGCAAGATTTTCCCAATGCAATTTTCCTTTTTGATTTCCTGATGGTGTTTATTAAAGTATTTTTCATTTAAGGAGCTCTTCTCATGTATTTTCAGGTGGAATACCAATGTGAAGGCTTTCTTGAAAAGAATAAAGACACTGTTTTTGAAGAACAAATTAAAGTTCTTAAATCAAGCAAGGTAAATATGGATAAGCTTTCTTCAATTGAGATATATTCAATAATATGTTCATTAAGCCTGGCTTTTTACCAGTAATACTTTTTCTACATAATTAATTTTATTTTTTATATTATCAAATATATAATATTGACTATATGTTAGGATCTGTTCTAAATGCTTTACAAATGCTAACTCATCTAATCCTTATCACGAGGTGATGTTATCACTACTCACAAGGAAACTGAGGCACAGAGACCTCATAGCTAATGATATATTTGGAGCTGAATAAAAATTCAGACCAGCTAGCTCAGTGTGTCCTCCAAACTGGCATGCTCTGTTCTTTTCAATTTCATTTAAAAATAACCCAAATATGAAAAACTGGACTACTGCAGTTCTCAACTCTCCTGCTACTTTCTGAGAGACTATGAGAGGGAAAACAATGATTTTTCTGCTGTGTTAGTTTGAAGGAATGTGCTAGAAACATAGCCTTATGCAATCCATCTAGATAGAATTTAATCTTTGGGTCATTGCATGCCTTTTCAGTTATGTTCTAAAGCATGTTGAATTTTTTCCTATATTTAATTTCTTTTGCTTTTGTTGAGAATGCACATATTAAAGCATACCCCAGTTCAACTGTTTTTACAGGGACAGTTCAGTGACATTGGCACATATTTACTCGTTAAGTTCATGTTTTAGGGTTAAAGTTTAAAGGCAATCTCATGATAATAGTTTCAAGGCTTCATCTAACCTTCATGACTCCAGAAAGTATAAACCCATGAGAATTTTAAATTATGTTCATTGTTTCCCCCATTTGCATGAGGATTCCTCTTTGGAATTTTTTATCAAATTGTTCAATAATAGTATCCAGATACCATTCAGTCTGTTATGGCAAAAGAGGCAGTTGTTCATGAAGGCAATTATCTGCCTGCCTTGGATTGAATTGTGCCCCCCAAAATCTATGTATGTAAGGATATAATGTAAAAGCTATGTAATGATCTTCCAGGATCTGATAATTCAAATAATTGTAAAAAATTAAGGGCAGAATGCAGCACCTCTTAATCCCATCACAGCTTTATCCAACATAAGGGAGATTTGCCTAGAGTGTGATCTGTAAAACCTTTTATCTCATAAGAGATAAAAAGAGAGAAAAGCAAGCCTAGGGGAGACCTTAGTACCACCAAGAAAGAATGCCAGGAATGGAGTGTGTCCTTTTCGACCCAGGTCCCTGAGCTCTGAAGCTCCTTGACCCTAGGTACACTACACAATGAAGTATAACAAAAGAACAAAATAATTCATTTTTCCAATGAATTGAGATAGCCTATGAAATTATAACCCTAATGGAACCCAAAGGACTAAATCCCATGAGATGATTGATTGTACGTAAATAACTCAGCAACTACTCTTTATGTTGAAAATTTATCTATTGCATAATGTTTGCCAACTTGACTTTGTATAATTGTGTAACATTTTAACAGTAATTGCAGCAATTGACTGCTCAATCCTACCCTTAATAAATGAGGTTTTTCTATCACCATTAGAAAGTACCAGGCTAGAAAGTCAGTATATATAGAAAGACATGAGATGCCACTTTAACTGGGGTTGTTAGCGAAGGTGTGTTTCTGAGGGAGCTGAAACTTGATAGAGGGAGATAGCTACATCAAGACAGGGAAGAATTGAGGAGCACAGTTGTGGAATAAGTGAGTTGCATTTGAGATTCAAAACACAAGCCAGTGTGACTAAAGCATGGTAAATTAGTTGAATGGTGGCAAAGTGTATCAGTTTTACATCTGCTGTAGTACAATGTTGGAGAAGTTTTCACCAGAGGGTGCTGTGTGCAGGTGTAATTGGAGTGAGTGGAGATGAGGTGGTAGTGATGTAGAAGAGACATGGTGGACTGAGATACTGAGATTGTAACAGTGGTAGTGGTTGTGTACCATCGAGTCAGAACCAACTCAGAGCTGACCTTCTGGTGGATTTTCTGAGGCAGTTACTCACACAGGAGGAGACTGCCTATCCATCTCTGATGGAGCAGAGTGGATTTGAACTGCGAGCCTTTGGGATAGCAGCACAGCTTCATACCACCAGACAAACAGCGCTCCCTAGCAGGGGAGGTGGGATATAATTTGTGGGTATAGCTGTTAGAGCTGGTTGATGAATGAAGTATGAGAGAAAAAAAATGAGGTTTTTTATATGAATGTTGGAAGGATGATGGGACCATTACTAAACTGAAGTCTAGTAAAAGAGCAGGCTTTAGGGGAAAAGATCAAGAGTTCTGTTTTAGTCATGTTTTGTTTTAGATGTTATTGTAGGAAGCTGGAAATGAAAATTGACAGTTCAAAGAAAAATTCAAGGCAAATGATACAAATTTGGTAGTCTTTAGAACCTAGGTGAAGTTATAAGGTGGATTAGATTGCTTAAGGAAAGCATGTAGATTAAAAGCAGAACGTTGTCATAGCCATCCCAACTCTTAGAAGCTCGTGAGAGGAGGAGCCAAGAAAGAATTAAGGAAAGAAATTGCCTAAAAGGTAGCAGCCATCCTAATGGAGGAAGGAAGTAAGACAGCATCTTCAATACACTAATTTACTATATACTGTTTTGTTTCTAAGAGAACAAAATTCTCAATGTAGAGAATTTTAAATTTGTGTCTGTGAAAAAAGCTGCACACGTACATAAACACAAACATACATACATATATGTGTTTTTTTAAGGTATCTTGAACTCTGAAAAATGAAGTCATTTTCTGGTAGACAGTATAGATCTTTTAAGTTCTATTGTTGCATCTGGTGTGAATAAAATATTTCAGTCAAGCTCTATTAACCATTTTTACAAAAGAGGAAAAAAACAAAGTCTAGGCAACTAGTATAAGAAATAGCAGTTCATCTAAAATTGAATCAATGTGGATAATATTCTAAAGTATATGGCTTTATTTGTACTTTACTACCAATAGTAGTAATTGACTACCATTCTAAACAGTTTTTAGCTTTCAAGTCAATTAAGAATTTTAATTTTTCTCCTTTGTAGCATACCTTAACTATTATAAAACAGTATAGTGAAAAACATACTTTTTTCTTTTTATGGCCTCTAAGCTACATTATATTATTTATTTTGTAAAACAAGGTAGGCATTAATGTGTGTACCAAGTCATTATTATTTGTATGCTTTTATAATATTTTATTACCCATATAATTATTTCCTAAATTATCCTTGATGTATACATAAAAAGCAAATTAAATAATCTGATTTTGCTTTTAAAGGATAGAACCCTCAAAAGATTATTTTTCTCAAGATATTCTGAGGTTGTTAGATAAAGAACTATTATAATTTGCAAATGTATTTTGACTTTTTAGGAGGATTTTATTTTCTTTGTAAAGGCTGTAGCAATGTTGTAAAATTATTTAAATATTCGGATTCTTTGTGGATTTATTTGGAGCTTTTTGTTCCATAAAGTTTCTTCTAATTACATTTGCTAATAGTTTTCACCTACTTATTGAGTACTGAATTGAGTGTTCCATAATACTCTGTCCTCAAAAAAACTCCATAAGATGTAGGTTATAGAGTAAATTTAAAATCCTTTGAAAAAACAAATATAAAACTTACAGGATATAAGTGAGGCATTTTCCCACCTTAAGTTTTTTTTCTAGAATCTAAATAATTTTTTAAAAAATTATCATTAGTTGTGGTGACATAGTCCGTAAAGAGGTGCCCTCCTAACTCAAAGGCCATACTTCTCCACTGATTCCAACCCACCAGTGCCTCTGGCATACAAAGATTGCCAATCTCCTCCCGTGTGATTTTTAGCTTCTGAAGCCTGTTGGAGTCAGCTGTGAGTCAATTTTGATTTGATGGCAATGAGATTGGGAGTTTATGATAACCTTTTATGCTGAGATTTTCAACAATATTTCTTAATTAGTGCTCAGAACTTGAATTAGTGGGTAGATGATGAAGCAGCTTAACACTTGATAAACAACTGACAAGGTCAGGTAATACAATATTTAATGGAAGTGAAGGGGAACCTATTCGTAGGTTTGAACTTGCAAACTTTTCAGGTAGCAGCTTAGTACTTTGACTACTTTGCCACAAGGACTCATGTAATAATAGTTTAGAACCAGTAATATGTTTAGAATGGCCGTTTCATGTAGATTTCCTACAGACTCTCATGGCTTGATGTATTTGTTTTTATTTTATTTTCCCCCAAATTTGATTATGAATTATGGCACTTTTTCTACTTATATTTTAATAATTCTTTCCTTTCATATTTTTTGTTCCTAACACAGCTATGGATTCTTTCTGGATTATAAATATGAAAGTGGTTATTTAAAGAATGGAATAATTTTCATAATATTTCTTCAGTAAAGATTTATGTTAGCATTTTAGGATTAAGTATAATTTCCTTTTCATTTTTTCTGATTCAGTTTAAGATGCTACCAGAGTTGTTTCAAGATGATGAGAAGACTATCAGTCCAACTTCAGCCACCTCCTCAGGGCGCACGCTCCTCAGCCGCACACCTGCAAAGCCCACCAAAGGCCGACCAGGCCAGGCTGCCAAAGAGCACAAGAAAACGGTGGGGCTCCAGGTGAGCTCACGGAGCTGCAGTGCTCCTCCCCGCACCCAAGATCCTACAGCCTTAGGCCTCCTGGGGGATCCGCAGATAAGGAGGGGCTGGAGCTTCCTCTGTGGAGACACCAATACTGTCCACTCACACTTCTCTCAACCAAGCTTTAGACCTGCAACTCTATTTGAGTTATTCCTAAAACAATTTTCTCTGTGTTTTAATTCTTCAAGTATATCATCCTCCCCAGGCTTCTACTGTCTTTGCTTTGTGTCTGGATATGAACAAAGCATCAGCTCTTTTACTTCAGGAACACTGCCTTCTATTCTGTGGTGTCTTTTGATCAGAGGATGTGGAAAATGCTGGCCATAAGTTTGGTTCATGAATAGGGGTGGGCTTTTGGCTCAGAAGCTGAGCACTAGTCAGCTTGTTTCCTGTGTCATATGCCCAGTTTCCGTTCCTGATCCCATGTCCCTAATTGTAATCCTGTCGTTATAGAGGGGGACCATACATTTTCCTCTCTCTAATCCCTTCTTAAGTCACTGCTACTTTTTCAGGCTTTCACAGCAAAAATTTTTACATTCTGTTTTCAATGGCTTTAATTTTCTTAAAGTAAAGTGATATTTTAAAATCAAACTCCAAGCTACAACAGAATGTTATAGACTTAAATTTCTAAAGGGGAGCGTGGAAAAAATGGATAAGAGGAAAGTCGGTGTACTTAGTATATTAAGCAACTAAGTAGCAGAATTTAAGAAGTTTTAACCTAAAACTCTTTCATTCCTGCTTTGTAGGAATTCCACTTTTTGGTCAGGATTATAAGTAGCAGATTCATTTTTATTAATGCCATAGGAATAAGACGTATTAACGTTTGAAAAGCTCTCTACTTTTTTCCCTTGCAGTTCCGAAACTCCCTCCACTTGCTCATGGAGACCCTCAATGCCACCACCCCTCACTATGTGCGCTGCATTAAGCCTAATGACTTCAAGTTCCCATTCACGTAAGTATTTCTCAACTACTAAATTAAGAAGAAAAAAAATCAAGATTGTGCATCTTATAAGGATTGTCAAAAAGCATAAGGAGAAAAATCTGCCTGTCTTGTGGAGGGAAAGTATTGGTTAGGAGAATTGGTTAGGACTTTTCTTCTCTTTTGAGACTGAGAGAACAAAGTAGCACTTAGTCTTCTTAGAATTTTAAAAATCAAGCACAACCAAGCATTCCTGGTTCTTTTTTTTTTCAGTTTTGAAATTACCTTTCTTGGATTTTTATTAATTTGTCATTAGTTAAAACCAGAGTTTGAGGTTAGTTTGGTGAGATAAGGCTGCTCTGTCAGTGACCTGCAGTTACTTCAGCTCTTGGTGTCATCAAGAATGCTTGCTTTACTGACATCTCATCCTACTTCAGATATCTATAGGAGGGTAAACAAATCTTTCTGGAGGTTGCTTTTACAAAATAGCAATATTTCTCAAATTCTTGAAGTAGCAAGTTGTTGTTATTCTTGAGTACCATCAAGTTTGAACCAACCATAGCTGACCCTCCAGCAGATTAATCACACAGGAAGAGATTGCCCAGCCTACTCCTGTGGAGCAGCTGGTGGATTCGAACTGTGTACCTACAGGATTGCAACGCGGATTCTTGCCATTAGGCCATCAGAGCTCCCTAGAGTGGGGTGCCATATTTTTTTTTCATAAGAAGAATCACATACTTAGGCAACGAGGAGGTAAAATTATCCCTCTATGCTGATGACATGATAGTATACTTAGAAAACCCTAAAGACTCAGCAAGAAAACTATTGGACGTA